GTTACACAAAAACAGAGAACAAATTAAGAAGAGAATTGAAGTTAAAAAGACCAAATAGATTATAAGGATTAGCACTATGGGACGGTAATAGTGGAACGGACGAAGAAGAGACTATGTAATATAGTTTTGTTTTTGTTCCAGTGTTACCGTCCTGTTGTCGTCCGTTCCACTATTACAGAACATAAGAAGAGAAAAAGGAAAAATTGACTTTTGTACATACATATATAAGTGTTCTTATTCTTAAAAATTAGTTCTATTTTTAAAATCTGATGAAGAAGGTAGTAACCTTCTAAACGTCATAATAAATAATAATTCGAAGTAAAAAGGAAGAAAAATTTTTGAACAAATTCGTATTATTTTTACTCAGCAGCATTTGCATTTTGAATTGAATCTGGCCGAAAAATTTCCGATCAAACTCTGAATTTGAATTTTGCCCAGACAAATTTTGAAATTTCACAGAATTTAAAGTTTGTTTGCAACACGTATATGACATTTTGATGTAAGCCTTGTTCTTTTTTTTAAAAATGACTAGTTAAATAATGAGTAGAAAACAAATAAAAGACACCTTTGTATATGTGTTAGTTATCTTCAAGTTGATTCATATTGAATCAGTTGTTGTTCTTCTAGATGATAGGCAAATTTAATTTTAACTTACATTCGCACATTTAATACGAGCCACGCTTTATTAACACATTATTGACAAAATGGTTAGTTTTTTTACTAAATATTATGACTAATGAGAATTACATAAATATAGTTTCTTTTGTTGATATTAGTTAAATCAAATAAATTTGAATTTGTATTTTTATATTTAAAAATTACTGTTCACACTTCTATTTCTTTACATTTCTTTTTATAACGTTATATTTCTATTTTCTAGCTGACTTTGCACGAAAGAAGTCAACGAAACTAAACCAGTTTTTTTATAAGCTTGCATATTATTCATTAATGTTTTCATATTAGATATATTTTCTCTAAGGTTTTATCAAGGAAAAACTATTTAAACTGGTTTTACAGACATTAGCCAAACTTCGACAAAAATGATCTTTACCTACAGATATTACAAAAAGTATACTAATATTCATCAAAGGCCAGAATAACTCAATTATTTCTCAAACGTACTAATTCCGTTTCAAATTAAAGCAAATCAATGGATAACATTATGGATTAGTCTCTAAAAACATCGATTGTTTCTAGATTAATTTATATCCAAACAACTGATCTTGATTTTTTTTGACTTGCCTGCGACAAAAAACTCAGTTATGCTGATCTTTTTGATGAATATTACTTAATGACGTCTGAATTTGTAGCACTCTGATGTCATATTCATTCGTGAAAGTATTCTAGTGTTTTCTTTAGATTAATTAGGTTTCGACAGCCTATTCTGAGACAATATTAAGTCATTGGCTTCACAGAGCCCAAAAATCTATTAGTTTCCGCCGTACTAACAACATCACGGATCAGTTGGTCTATCGATCCATTACCTTTATCTCAATCTAAGAAGAAACTGAAGGACAGATTTACTTTTTCTAACAACCAATAATTCTCACTTTTTAGCCCGTAAATTACGAAATTACAACCTATAAACAAAATCAATATTAACAGTTCATCCGCAAATCGATTTACTTATATTAAGGCTAGAAACTTCAATATGTCTGAAGAAATTAACTCATTAAATAATACAACGCAAACACCAAATAACAGCAATCAAAACGTACTAAATGAGCTCGATACCGAGAACACTACGCATTCACAATATGAATACGATTCACTTTCATCCAGTAATAATAGCGAAAACAAGGAACAAATGTCAATTCCATTAAAAGATATACTTCCAGAATCTGCTACCAACATGACAGGGGATGGACGTATTAGTGTCTGTCTTAGTGACGAACAACTAAACGACATATATGAGTATTCTATATTAAACATGGAAGAATATGACATTATTAGTACTTCTGAATATCGTTTTAATATCAAACAACCATTAATACCTGGACAAAATATTCCAAGACTAGCCATTTGTATTATGATTGTTGGAAGTCGTGGTGATGTACAACCATTTATAGCATTTGGAAAAGAACTTTTAAAAGTTGGTCATAGAGTAAGATTAGCTACACATGAAATATTTAGAAAGTTTGTTAAAGAAAATGGTCTTGAATTTTTTCCACTTGGTGGGAATCCAGCCGAACTTATGGCTTTTATGGTTAAGAATGCTGGCATTATACCACATGTGAGTAGTATCGTTAGTGGCGATATCTATAGAAAAAGAAAACAGTTAGCTCAGATTATTGATTCTACTTGGAAAGCTTGTGTAAAACCTGATGATGAAACAGGTGCACCATTCACTGCTGACGCTATTATTTCTAATCCTCCAACATTTGGTCATATTCATTGTGCACAAAAACTTGGTATACCTCTTCATATATGTTTTACTATGCCTTGGTCACCAACAACTGCATTTCCACACCCACTTTTTAACGTTGATTACAGTATAAGATCTAAAGAAAAAATGAATTATTTATCTTATGAAATTGTTGGAATGTTTACTTGGGTAGGTATGAAAGATTTGATAAATCACTTTCGTAGAAAGGTACTGAATTTGAAAAGATTATCTACATCTCAAGCAATTAATATATGGGCGAAAGAAAAAGTTCCTCATACATATTGTTGGAGTCCAGCCATGATTCCTAAGCCTATTGATTGGGGTGAACATATTGATGTAAGTGGTTTCTTTATGTTAGACTTAGCAACAAACTTTACTCCTTCAAATGATCTTATACAATTTCTTAAAGAAGGTTCACGACCTATTTATGTTGGTTTTGGAAGTATAACTGGTGATGATCCAGTACGCTTGACAAATACTATTCTTGAAGCCATAAAACTTGTTAAGTGTCGTGCAATCATTTCTGAAGGATGGGGTGGAATAGGCAAAGCAACAACATTGCCCGATAATATATATCTTATTGGTAATTGTCCACATGATTGGCTATTTGAACATGTTGATATTGTTTGTCACCATGGTGGTGCCGGCACAACAGCTACGGGTTTAAAACTTGGTAAACCAACTGTTATTGTTCCTTTCTTTGGTGATCAGTTCTTTTGGGGTGATATGATTTATAAGATAGGAGCTGGTCCATCTCCTCTACCTGGAAAAACGTTGAAGGCTGATCAGTTAGCTGATGCGTTTCGTTTTGCTATGAGATCTGAAACTCGTGCTGCTGCACAAAGATTAGCTGCGGCAATGAAGGAAGAGAATGGTGTGGCTACAGCTGTACAAGCATTTCATGCACATCTTCCATTAGACAAAATGATAAGTGATTTAGAATCAACATTTCCAGCTTGTTTTTCTCTTCCAAAATATGATTTAAAGATATCATTACCTGTAGCCCAAGTATTACTTGCATCAGGATCAATTGATGAATCAGAATTAAAAGTACATCCCGTAAAAGTATGGGATATTCGTGATGAGCACGAACGTGTACCATGGCATAGATTGACAAGAAGTGGCAGAAAAGCGTTTTCAAGGTTATATGCTGAAACGACGGATGGAACAAAACAAGCTCAATCTGGATATTCAAAAGAGATTTGTGCTGAAATATTGTCAAAGTTTGAACAGAACAGAAGAGTGATAAAGTCCTAGAATATTTCAGAGAGAGAATAGAACTACTAAATAGAAAAGGATGAAAACAACGAAGATCAAAGTTGAAAAAAATATTTGAATGAGCAGTTGGAAATACAGTTTTAAATATAAAGTATTATACTGTTATGAAAGACATGTTAATAAAATTCTTCTGAAATTTAACCGATGACGTAACTTTCTTATACAGCAATGGAGATTCTAAACTATTTGTAACCGACGCTTACATACATTCAACTCAAGAAATTGCAAAATATATCACAGTTGATAAGAAGAAGAAATATATGGCATACTCTATCCACCAAGAGGTAAATAACAGATGTTAAGGGGGCCCCTCATGAAAATCCTTTTTTATCTTACATCCGATTTCTATGGCGCTTTTAGTGACTAGTGCTTACTGTTCTACTAGCTTATGCTAAGAATTCGAGATTAAAACGTTGAAGCACTGCCGAGTTATTGCGTGACAAGGGGCAAAATGGGGCTCTTAGCGATTACGTAAAGCGTGTTTTGTTGGAAGGTGTAGAAAACTGCGAGAGGCCTCAAATAAAAGTAGGCACCTAAATCTAAAATTTGATCCGCGACGATTTTTGAATTTCGCTTTCGTTCATTCCCTACTTGTATTTTAAGTCCGACCTCTGAAAATATCCGTAATAGGCGTGTTACACGAGAAACTACCAGATCAAACCATATACAGAATCAAATCGATACGGAACTAATTTACAGTGCCGGTAATTCAAAGGTCGAGCAAAACACTTTTATCGCGATATTTATATATGACTCGATAGAGTTCGTCGAGCTGTATCATAATATGTGTGATTTAATCTACCCAAAACAAATTTTAAGGTCAGAAAATTGAAAAAACTCATATTTCTTAAAACCTGAAAACCTGCTTAGTTTTTAAAAAACGAGCGTAAATGTCTCATGTACTGCTTTTGGTAATTTTGAAACATTTTCATTTTTATTCTATGTGAAAAATTGTATGTAAAAACTATACTTTTGATGTTATTTAAATATCGTATGACCCTGAAAATTGTTGATCTTTCGCTAATAGTGAACATCATTCTTCCCTCTCTGGCAAATGCTTCAAGCCTTTCTTGTTAAGAGATGAAGTCAATATTTTTATGTCATTATACTCGCCATAATCGCACAAAAAAAGAAAAGCATCGGTTTTGGAAAATATTGTTCTGTTGTTGAGAAAATAATTTTTATTTTAAACAGATAGTAAAAAACAAGAACTTTATATTCAGAGAAGAAAAAAACATAGTTTCATATCTAACAGGTGACTCTACAAGACGTAGTTATGAGCTTTAGCCTGAAACACCTTTTATCTTTGGTCGTTGAGTTTTACCTGTGATGACATAGACAGGTCTATCAAGGAATATTTTTCACGAGGTTTTTTTAACACATTCTTTATTTGAACGAGATTGTACTGATCATGTGTTTGATGTTTACCGGGTGAAATAGTTGTTGAGATAAAGAATGAAATAAACGGATAACATTAGAAGTGAATGTTGTGTTACTTGTTGCTTAATAATATATATCAAATGTATACAATATTAATTATTTTAGTATAATGCGCACAAAGTACAAAGAATAATCTCAGCTAAAACTCTTATCACGCGTGGGACCAGAAAATTTTAAAAAGTGGACGTGTCTGGCTGGACCAGAAAGCTTTCAGGATTGATAGGGCCGGGCTAGATAAATTTCATGTTTGCTCGGGCCGAGCAGGGCTTGGTCCAGAAACTTTCATCATCGGACCGGGTCAAAAGTTCTCTGGTAGCTACATTGAACAAGCTCTACATAATGGCACTTGACTAGATAATTTTAGTAAAATACCGTAGAATGAGTAAATATCTCGAAAGAATAGGTGTATGCTAAAAAAACATAGTAACCTATATATATTTGTAGATTACAAACAAATATAATGTTTTAATGCAAGTAAGAAAAGTATATAGGTACAAATTGAGTAGAGATGATCTATTATCAATTTTTAATTCTATTCTTCAATATATTCGTTTAACCATTAGGTTATCATGAGGTGTCTTCGGATGCCACAAGTCTTTTTGATGCTTTTTCGTGATATCCTACCTTCGTGTAAAATGGATCCATCCATCTTTGATTGACTTGATGTCTTCTGTATGGCTTATCCTTATACAGTGTCACATGGATGAAATCTTTTTGCTTACTCAACTTTCTCTATCTCTCTCGTCATCATCTCTCATTTTTCTTGTCCCTTAAGAGTACTCCTCCCCTCTTTTGGGGCTTTCCGTAGAAATGCTGCGAAATAAAAACTAAAAGTCGCTAGGACTTCGTATTTTCAGAACTGATTGGAAACTCAATGGAGCACTTTTCGTTTTTGTTTCAAGTTTTCAGCTATTGTCGTTCTCCAGTTGTTCAGAAAACTCGGTTTTTCATTGTGCCACATTACGACCCCCTTAAATTTCATCCGATCGAGTTCAAAATTTTACCAGAGGTACTCAAAGTCATTCCGCAGAGGTAATTTTTGGGAAATTTTTTTGAGGCCTTTCATAATCGAGTTATAGGAAAAATACTGAAAAACGTCTCAAACACCAAGTTTTTCAATTTTAGAAACCCTATAAGTCGGTAAAAAAAGGCTGAAATAAAATTCCAAAAAATTACCTCTACAATAGTGTCCTGAGTACCTACGGGAAAGTTCTGAACTTTTTTCGGATGAAATTTAAGGGGGATCGTAATGTGGCACAATGAAGCCCGGTAGCAAAAAAATAGTTTTCGAGAAAAAACGCATGTTGTACATAGGACAGTTTTTTCAGAGCATTTGTCGCAATGCTTATATCTCCGCAAAAATTCTGTAAAACGTCTCATTGTGGAGAAAACACTTTCTTCTATCATACTATGTGTAAGAAAAATTTCGCATGTACAGAAAATGAGCGAAAAGTGTATGAGACGAAAAAATTGAGTTTTTTTAGGTTTTGAAAGAAAAACTTCGATCCATAACTTTTTGAAAAAGGTAGTGGAGTACTGGGAGTGGTCTTATTTTGTAGCCCACACTTTCGGCTGCATTAGGCTGTGCTCAGCTCAAAATCCAAAATTTTTACAAAAAAGAGGGGGCGTACCCTTAACTGTCTTATTATTGTTTCATGTATGTCGAATAGATCCAGGTAGAGCCCTGCGGGTTTGAGATTTTCAAACCCGATCTCGATCCGTCTCGTAGAATTGAAATCCGCCCGAACCCGATCTCGATTTTTTCAAATAAAACCCTTCCCCGACCCGCTCGAACCCGAAATATTTTTTTTCCAGCGAAGTAGTGCTATCTTTCATTTTCACGTTAGTAAATTTCTACTCGTAGAGGTACAAAATATAATTCACTTGGTCGATTGTACGTCTAGTGCGAAACACCTGTCCATTTTCCTTATTTTTCATTCTATTATTTAGAATTGTCTCTTATCTCCCTCTATATTAAACTAGAAGAATCCGGATCGAAAACAAACCCGATCCCAGATGAACTGAAACCCGTCCAGAACCCGAAAAGAGCTTTCGGGATCTCGATTCCGAACCCAAACACGCGGATTCGGGTTCGGCATCGGGATCGGGTTAAACTCGCAGGACTCTAGATCTAGGCATACAATGAATTTACTATCGATTTGCCTGCTCTTTTTTTCCTTTCTTTTTTTACTGTTGGCGTGAAATAAAGTTCGATTAAAAAAAAATTCATTTACAGTAATTTACACTTCAACTAAAATTGGTACTTGAAGCTGTTGTGTATGTATACAAGTAGAATGTATCAAAAATTTAAGTATACCGTATGGTATGAGTATGAAACGTATTTCAGTCGTAGATGTGTTTGTAAGCGCATGTACTTCACATATAAAAATCTATAGAAAGTGTCACATTTTATTTTAAATGAGTTATTTTGACTTTGTATATGGATTGGACGCCTCACCCTCATAAGTAGACTGATAACATGTAGCATTAACCTTGGTTAAAGTATGCTACTACACAAAGCAATACGTGTGCTTGTTTGGTAAAAGTATCGCATTACTTTTTGACATATGAAGAAGACTAGAAGAAGCACTCTTTCAATGTCTAACGAAATATTTCGTTAACATCATGGTTAAGTATTGAGTGTAACAGTATTTTCCCCTTTAGATTGCAGCTAGGCACCCACAGACACCAATATATCCATAGTGTATCGGTGTGACACTTAAAAAACTCAAGAAAGTTTCCATTTTTACTGTGTGGAGCCTTTATTAGAAAAGGGAGCACTATTCTATTTTTGGATTATTTACACACGATTCAATAGACCTCAGCGAGCTGATTAAGAATAAGTTAGTTTTAGCATTTAAAAGTTGATTTTTGGCCGCGAAATTTTGAAATTGCCGAGGACAACAATTTCTTGACTAATCTCTTTTGAAAGCAAGATGATGTAGATTTCGTGGAACTTTGATTGAAATAAACATAGAATGCATCTGAGATCAATCTGGAATCAGGTTGAATTCTGAAAACAACCGTTTCCAATTACAATCCAGAAGTTTTTACTCAGTATCATACCTTAGAGATCTGACTTTTAATCTAAGTGAAAGGAAGCACATAGAGGTTTCACTGCACGACTTACTGACCGATGTGACTATATTGGATCATGGTGACCGCAATAATCCGGCACGCCTTTTAGGAACGACAAACTACAAGACTAGTAACTACTGCGCCTTCGACAATTGTCTCGGCGGCGTGGTTTTTTGGTAATATAACGGCAGATTTGTATGGTTTTACAATGGTCAACTAGTATATGGTTCTTAAGAATAAATTAGTTTTAATGAAAGTGCGTTCGTTATAATGATGAAAGAGTGGTGTGATGAAAGTGCCATAATCCTGCTATTCGAACCGCTGTTGCACGGGAAAATGTGCGACGTAGAGATTTTTTTGACTTTTTTTTCCGCCGCCGAGAAACATGAGTTTTGCTACAAATCTACCCAAAACAGGTAGGTCAGTTTTGAATAAAATTTCCATTTTTCATCCAAATATCG